CTCACTCCTGATATTTTTTTTTTTTCCTTGGAGCTTTGTCATCATCTGAGATAGGAATTGCTGCCATCTCTGAGACGGAATAGTCAACATGAGTCAATTTCTTTGTATTTTTTTCTGTATTGCTTTGCATATTTGTTTTTCTAAGACTATGCACTTTATGATTTCCCTTTGTTCCTCTGACCTGCAAATCAAAAGCCTACATAGAAAGTACCCCAGAATTTGCTCCGTTTCATCTTTGACATTTCATCATGCTTTGATAACAAACAGCTTTGTCTGGCTGTAACTGATAACTGGCATCCTTTGTAAACCAAAAGTCTTAGACTGTGGCTTAAGGAAGGCTATTTTAGTAGTAAAACGAATCATCTTGAATGATATAGTCCTCCATGTGTGACAATACATGATGTACTGGTCGAGAAGTGCCCTTATGATGTTTAATTTTGCAGGAATTGGCTAGAAAATAGGAGGAGCGGGTTCCTGCTCCCACCTGTGCGACTGAACACGGCACCAAATACCGATCTGCAAGTGGGCAGAGGGTCACATTGCCACATGTATCACAATTTGTCCAAATTCTGTGTAACTATTAACCTGAGGGCATCAAAGCTAGAGAGCTAGGCTAGTTGGAGAAGGCAGGAGGGGGCAAGACGAAAATGAGACGAAGGACAATGCAGGTCTAAAGCTGTGCAGAGAGCAGAACCAGCAGCAAGGACACCGCTGGAGCGGGTCTCTGGAAGTGTTTCCCATGGGAAACTGAGTAGCCCAGTTTAGCGTTCTCGGGGCAGAGACGCAGAGGTTGGCCTGGTGTAACATAAATCTGCATACTGCACTCCAACAACATTTTATTTTAAGAACAATTTTGTATTGGCTGATCTGTAGAATGCAGAATATTTTAATGTACTTTTTTATTATTTTATAGAGAGGTTTCAAAAGCTTTTGTGGGAGGAGGGGGAGTTAGGCTCTGAGCTGGCAAGTGAAAAACCCCCTGTTGAGCTCTGCTGGAGTTAAGCAATAGGAGGTGACAAGATTTTTGTTTGTGGGGGGCACATGTGTGTCTGGGAGAAGGCTGGCAAGCTCACTTACATACCCCAATTAATAGGAATGAGACTAAACTTCTACCTAAGTGGCCAGGGGGATTCTTCATTTTGGGTTCATTTTTCAAGTAAAGGATCTGGTATAAAATTGGATATTCCTTTCTTTAGAGGAGGGACTTACCTTATTTCTGCAGGGCTCTAGTCCTTTGAAAGAAATATATTTTACTCAACAATTTTTCAGCAATGCAGATTTAATATAGTCCTGCTGCCTAAGAAAGTATTTGTATGAGGGGGAAGAAAAGTTTATTTTAAAGAAGGCATTTACTGTTCAAAGCTGAGTCACTGAATTTATGACACAAGAAGTTGTCTGGAAGACACATATTTCTTCATTTTATTTTTAATGCTCTGTATCATCCATAATTTTGAACGGCAACCCAACTGTTTACAAAGCCATGGAGCATTTATGAATGTGCACTACGAGGATATTCTATAGCTCTGTTGCTATTTAGAAAGAGTATCTGGTAGCTACTGGAATAAAACCGAATTTCTCTTTGATACCAGTTTTGCTTCATCAGCAGGTGCTTAACACTAAAGGCAGCACAGTTCAGTTGTGTAAAGAAGAGAATGTGGGTCATTCTTCGTGCTGATCATGTCCTAATGCTCAGGGCATGGCGTCAGTGCTGTAATTCCTCTCTGTGGCTGCACACAGAGCTCTGTCAAGGAGCTCTCCTTGCAAAGCCTTTTGATTCTTCCTTGGAAAACACTCTGTAAGTGTTAATACTATTTTTTTCCCTTTGTCATGGAATATTTACCCAAGCAATATCCCTGTGTTCAGCACCGCATGAGTTCCCAGCATGTATCATCTGCCACCTGATGCAGTAATCCTTTGTCTGGGCTATCAAAATAGGTAGCTGCAGCACAGACTGAAATGCCAGCGTGGAAGAATTATAACTTTGTCTGGGAAACTAGTAGAAAACTGAGAACACTTTTAACATGACGGGGACTCTATATAAGCAGATTCGTTAAGGTACAGTTTTGGAGTGTTGCAGAAATAACATTTACTGACTTCTCAAATGCTTTGTGATTGCACGCTCGGAAATCCAGAGCGGCTCTGCCAATATCCTTCTGCAGAGTCGTGGCATTACCAAGTGAAATGGGGACCAAAAACCAAAGGTGAAGATGCAGATGTGAGGGTATGATTTGGGTTAATGGTGCAAAGATAAGGTGTGAAAAATACAGGCTAAGGACAGACCCTGTCCTTCCACTAGTGAAGGTAGGTGTCTAGTCCAGATGAATAGCAGAACAAGGTTTGCAGTTGGCATTCCTGCCCTGCTGAGCAAGTGGGTTGTGATTAAAGCAACCTGGGGCACCTATGGAGAGGTTTGTAAATCATCAATACCTTTTGGATTTTAGGGCTTGCCTATCACTGAAATGGATTTCATACCACTGTGCGCTTTATGTAAGGGTTCTTAATAGCATTTCATTTAGTTGTGACTTCAGTACACAAAGAAAAGATTTCTGGCATGAGGAATGCAGCACACAGCAAGCTCCTTAAGAAGTTTTTCTCCACTGCTGTTAGTTAGCAGTGGCTGCGTTACACATGGTAGGAAGAGGTCTTTTCCCCACCTGTTTGAGTGAGAAATGCTTTAGTTGTGCCTAACATCATTAATTAACTTTGCACTGATATACAGATGAGAAGTACAAGGTTCTGGAGCATGCAAAAGAAAGAGAACAGGGTCAAGGACCAAAACCAGCCCTATTCCTGGGAATTGTACCCACTCTTCAAATGCATTTGGATACTATATTAGATATTTTTTTCCCTTCTTTCCTATACTAAAGGTGTCAGTCAAGGGTTGGGCCCCTGAAAGAATTTCTCGACAGAGGACAGGAGATCCAGCTGTTGATACTGCCACACGGAGATGCTGATTTTTTCACTCACCTGACTGACACAGTGGCAACTCTCTGAAGCTCAGCTTTGTGGGGCACCAAGTGCTCTCCAGGCTGGTGTGAGCGTGTTGGCGGTTCCAGGCGGTGCCGGCTCAGAGCCCGCCGCAGCGGGTTCAGCCCCTGGGCCCACCCAGCAGCTCTGCCAGCACGCGGGGTGCTGTGGTGGAGGCTCTCAGCCTGTCGCCTAGGACACAGGTTACCTGACAGATGTTACTGGGTTGTGGCAATCAATGAAGTCTCCACTCAGGTGTCTTAAGCAACAGCTCGTAAAACCTCCCAGAAAAGACAAGGAGTTTTGAAATAACTCCTCAAAGGGAAAACTGACAGTTTCAAGAAACTTAACTGTTTCTCACATTGCTTTTGCCCTGTGACTAAGGTTTTTAAAGGACTGGTTTGCAGCTGTGTTCATTGAACAGTGTCACTAGCCATACCGGCTTCTGCTGGCTAAGGGTATGCCCTACTCCATTCACATTTGCTTTTTTCCTCCAGAGTCCCTTCAATAATTCAAAATCAAGGAGGGAATCTACTTTATCTGGGGATTGTGACCTGCTAGTTACATATCTACTACAACTACTGGTACCATATGGTGAAAATATGTTTCTCTCCACAGGTATGTATTTTTGTAATAGTTGGAAACTTGCTCTATATTCTAAAATTCCCCTAAGAGCCAGCACAAGGATTTAAACTTCGGTAGCAAAGAGAACTTTGCTCACAATTTTCCTTCTCTTTGCAATTTTTCACATCCTTAGCATTAGCTTTATGCAGATTTTGAATTACTATTCAATTTTAAGTTCATGATACAATTAGCTAGAGATTATAAAGTTGCACTGCAATAGCTTTTGCATCTGTGTTGCTGTAAAGATTCCAGACTAAATGATACTGCACATTCACGGTCATTATAATTTTATAATACTTCACCAGGACCAGGCTGCTGGACGCAGTTTAGTTTTCTACAGCTATGGCTAAAAATATTCACTTACCACTCAATTAGAAATGTTTTGGTAGGGTAACTAAGTAAACACGAATACAGAACATTAATAAAGGCTTTTTCTTTCTTTTCTTTTCCCACCTCTTTCCATATTTAGGCTGCCAGATTGTCTGTGGCTCAGAGAAATGAATTTTGGACAGATATTTTTGAGAGCTTAGCAATTCCATATCTTGAGAGATGCCACTTCAGAAGTAGTGCTAGTATTAAAGACAAGGAAATGTTACAAGGATGTGGGAACACAGAGCAAATCAAAAAAGCAAACCAAGAGCCACATCAAATGCTTTAATAATATTTTAAAGTTGCAAGTGAACAAAGTGGCTGCCAAAAGCTCGTGTGGCAATCTCCTGAAATGCCTGAACTAAGACCTAGTGAAACCAGTGAGACCCTTTCTGTGGGGATCAGTGGGCTTCATGTGCGTGCTTTTGGGATTTGGTAAGTGATGTTTGAACTGAGAACTAGAACTTTTTTAGCTTCTCAAAGCTCAGGGGAGTTTTGCACCTCATCATCCAAGCAGGTTCATTTCCATTTAAGACATGTAGTAAGGCCAGAAGACGTGCTGTATTAGAGTCCAAACAGCCAACAGTACACCAAAACATTTCCGTGCTGAAACTCCTTTTATGTTCTTATCTAGGACTTGTGTCACAGCAACCTTTAAAAACGTTTCTGAACCTAATTCAATTCAAGCAAAGACCATAAAGGGGAATTTAATATATGAACTCCAAAGGTATCGTCCCCTGACCTGACGTGTGCTCAGTCCTGAGGAGCACTGCCAGCTGAGCAGACTTTCTGCAGGTGGCTGCACTCTT